TTCTTTACAATCTTCCTAGTGAATGTGAGCTTGCCCCAGTCCTCAGTTATGCTATTTTGTTGTCTCGTTGGCTGCTGCTAAATCAGTAGTAGGATAACAGTTGTGCTCTGCTCACCCTTCCTTCAGTGCGGGGCATGGATCTGTGGCTCTCCCCTTTACCTGGCTGCTGATTTCTAATGCAACTATTGGTGTTTCAACACTATTTGATATGTCATATTTCAGTTGAGCATTAGATTGCTACATTTTTAGGGATACTATGTTATAATGTTTAATCATGTAAGTGCACACTGTTTTTCATATGGCCTTATGTATATTTTAAAGTGTCTGTGCACCGAAATGATGAATTAAAATAAGATGCAATTAGTGTTAATCCAATTTCCCTTTTCTCAGATCACAGTGTGTTGAACAATGCTAATTGCTATTGACTCACTTTTTGGTGAGGAAACATGCACGTTGGCTGACTTGGCTCAACAAACTCTTTTACACCAAGTACTGCATCATGGGCCCAGTTCTTCAGTATCCTGTATCTTCTGCACCAGAGCTTCAGCTGGAATAACTGTCTCAGCAGAGAAAGAGGCCTGTTAAACAAATACCAATTATTTGTTGCTATTGCTTTGACTTACTTAGAAGTGTGTTCCATTTACTTAAAACGAAAGGCCATTACCAAAAAGATTTCAGGCATTTAAGACCAGACTGCATACATCAACTTTTTAGCTAAGCAAGGAGAACATAGAAGTGATAGAGAGGAGACCTTGTGAGTGGTGTGCTACCTATTAAATAAGTGATTATGTCATCTATTAAAAATAAGAGCAGACAAGTAACTAATACTTGCTCTTCCAAATGAAGCTAACAAGCTTGCGTGTCTAATTCCAAGTCCGACACAGACCCATTAATGCAAAGACAAGGCAGCAAACTGATTATTCTGTTATTTTAACATTAGCCACCATTAGCATGACTTACCAGCCTGTATTATCCTATACTTTGCCCATAGACAGACAAGCCATCTGATAAAATCCTGCTTCTACAGGAAAGGTAAATCGCTTCTGACACGCAGCCCTCAATGCTGTCATCTGCAACTCTGCAGCAATTATCTGTCATTTTAGGCTCCAGACTTCTCAGGAGTTAGCCCATGGTTCTGACAGTCTGTTTGGGACTGCAGGCACCACCTTCACTAAGTACTCTACTAGTGGCACTGCAACAAATCAAGAATACCGAATTTGCAGTCAATGTTCATGCAATTTATGTAAGAATATTAGTTTTTCTGCCTCAGCTGGTCCAGCTGAAATTTCCTTCAACTGAAATTTCTCAACTGTACTGTTTGGTTCAAAACAGGAAATCCATATATAAGGAAGGAAAACTGAATAAAGAAAGAAGAAAGGGGAGTGATTATAGCACAGAAGGCACCAAAGGAACCTTAACTGAATTAATGGATCCTTGTTTGTGAAAACAATTCATAAGTCCTAGTAGCAAACACTGCTGATCTTATTTCTCTGATCAGAGAGTGCACAGCATGTAATCCAAGATGCTTCGATGTTGGCAGCTATAGCAGGGTCAGTATTTGGCTGAATTAAATTAGATTAAAATTACACAGATGAGAGATTAGGCCAATACAACCAGAAAATAGCAAACCCTTCTGCAGCTCTTTCAAAGATACCTTAAGAGAGCAGCAGTAATTAACATGACTGTCACTTGGAGTTAAAAGGGGACGTAATCTTCCAAATGAACCCAGAAATTGGACTGAAAAGTATTAGTTTGGTAGACACAGAAGAGTGCTGATGCAATTTTGATTAGGAAAGATCAGAATTTCTCTCCTGATTTCAGGATTTCTTAATTATTTATATTTAAGTGGGAAGACTGCAAAAATTGGCTTAAATATGGCACAAAAGCTCTGTTTTGTGCTGGTTGCAAGAGTGGCACACAGACATTTTAAAGATTTAACTGTCAGCAATCTCAGTGGCCACAGGCAGATGCCCTGGGAATTTCAGCAAGGCAGGAATCTGTTTTTCCTGGACCTCTCCTATTTATGGGGTTTTTGACTTACTGGGTCATCACCTCTCACAAGCAGAGCCCCCAGATGAATAATCAGTCTAAGCAGGTGGTCAGATCTGGTCGTCATTTCTGTGCAGATTGCTATGTAATATAATACTCCAAGAAACAGGAATGTCAACTCCATTTTATGTCTACATTGATTACAGTTTCAGCTGCACAACTCTTCAGTGACATCAAGGCAACTGAAATGTGTCTATATGACTACTAATCAGGGAGGAGGTTAGCTGTGTGCTTCGATGCCTCACTCAACTGAAAACTGAGGAAGCTGACACCCAGTAATGGGGTGTATGGAGGAATCTCTTCAATTTTTAAGGTATTTTGAACAATTCATTTATGCTAAAATACTGTAGACTCAAAACTCTAACTTTGAGAAAATTATTATTTATTTGAACACTCATTTGAGTGCAGATAATCCTTACTTTCAGGCCTAATGCAACTCTGAAGAGTCTGCTACAATGCCTCTGTTTTTTGATTTTGCATATAAAATGCAGTGTTCGAAGCATTACCTATTTTAAAATATATTAATCAGTCTTTTGATGGCTGCTCTGATATCTCTGAATCAAGAAGGCTACTGAGACCATCAGCACTCAAGCTGTACAGAGGAGACAGTCACCTTTCCTGCTGAACGTTACCTTTTCAGATTGTCTCACAACTGCACTGGCAGTTTTTTCCCCTGACATCTAACAATACAAGCTCTAGTCCAATTTGCTGTGCTTAATGTTCCAAAATTTTTGTCAGCTCTATTTATTTTCAATTTTTTCTCCCACTGTCTCTGCACCTATAGGGTTACTCTTCCCTCAGAACACTTTACCTCAATCTGTTTATTTTGCCAGCGTACCTAATCTTAGGGGTTTCTGCAGTCTGTTTTATGTGGAAATCCATAGCGTCTCACACTGAACATTAACTCTGAATTTCATGAAAGTAGGACCTTCCAAGAAAATCTTTCTGTGCTTTTCTTCTATTAGCATATTACTAGCATACTACTTTCTAAAGCATATTTTCACAATGTTCTTCAATGGTTTCCACAAGCACAGGCTGCCTCCTACAGCCAGCCTCACTTGTTTCCTTTGTGCAAAGCAAAGCAAATATTGTGATTCCTCCAACGGACCAGCAGCAACTATCTAGGGAAAGCCAGCTGTTCTCTAGTGCTAAGCCTCTGCCCCTCTAACATATGCATAGCTAAGCTTCACAGAACACGTGTAAAAATAAAATAATCTCGTTTGCAGAATTAATTTGCATTTGCCTTGCACAGAAAGGTTTAGTATTATCAAACTTAAAGGCAGCTGCTTAGCACTTAAGTTTTCACTGGGCAATGGCTTTGAGAGTGCAGAGGGAATGTTCAATCACTAGTAAGAATTCTGACACCTAAATTAGCCCAACATGCATTCTAATTTCATTCTCACTACTCATAGCATTATTCATTTGATATGTCTTACACTTTTTAATAAAGGGTGTGTTTATACTTTAAAATTCCCCAATAAAATAAACATAGGATCTCTGAAAAAATAACCTGTGATAATCACATTAAAATCATCCAGGGCTCCTCCGTACCTGAGCACAAATTGGCATTCTCTTTTGTGAAATACACTTCAGGAGGCAACATACTGACAAAGGTAAGCAGTGTAAAATAAGATAAAGGGGTGCAAATAACATCATGCAGAACAACAAAAGAGCACCAAAAAAACATCAGCATGAGTTAGGGAAACAGCAACCCTCCACCTGCACTAGAAAAGCCTGAACTGATGGTGCAGAGCAGAAAATCCCTCTATGCATGCTCCCAGGTTCTGCCCATCACAGTGTGATGAACTACTGAGTCACATTGAAATTTGAGCACATTTACATATCTGGATTCCTTCCACTCACCTCCTGTCCTGCAGGAAACTCACAAACAGCAACCTCTGTGGGCAGCCACTGTTTTAGCTCTTCCGAAGCAGCACAGACCTGCATTCTTCTGAGAACCACCACACTGCTTTTGCAGATTTTTACAGACTTGAAGGCAGAACACCAAGAAATTCTTGTTGTTTTCTTTCTTGCTTGCTTTTTAATATGCTATTCTGAACCATTTTCTGTACACACTTGCTGTTACCTGTGCTATGTAAGTTGAGTGGTACATATGGAACAGGAAGAAAAAGACATTAAGCATATAACTGGATAAATTCCCGAATAACTAAATCTTCCAGTACATCTCTTAAATTAACAAGAATTTAAATGATATACTAAATCTGCAAGATTTTTTTTCTACACATTACCATGGTGACATATTAACAACTGCAGTAATTATTTCTTGAAATACAGTGTAAATCTCCAGACTTAATTGTCTTCCAGAAGAAAAACTTCCACCTGATGTGTGAATATTCCTATATAACTGGTACTTCTGTTTTGCAAAAACGTTACCTAATTTTTCTTCTGAAGTTGTGTGAGTGTTTCTATGCATCTCATCATTCAAGTAGTTCCTCATAGCGTTCTAGTGCTGCACCACAGGCTGCCTGATGGTGGTATCTTCTAAACTCTACAACTGTGAGCATATGAAAGAAATTCCAACTAAGTACACTGGAGTTGCTGCTTTACCAACTGACCGTCTAACCTGAAACATACAAAAGAACATCCATTTTTATAAAACTCCATCTATGAAGTCCTTCTAGACTGAGAAAAAGACAGCTCTTCTGAAGCGAGTAAAGCTGGACATTCACAAATGATAACTTCCAGGATTTTATATTTGAAATCCTAGCAAAATGTCTCTTTTTCACAGAGAGAACTTATTGATATAACACTTATTGATATAAACGATCTCAACCAACAAATACCAGACAATACCACAGTGACAAGCGCTGCAAAGACACATTTGGTTTGTCCTAAAAATGCTGGCATCTGCAGTGGGGATACCAGACTATGAGTCAAATCAAAGGAAAACTTGTTTGCATTTCATGCGAAAGAAGGCAACTGACAGTACATTCCTAATATTTATGTTTATTATGAAAGTGTCTCCAAATTAAAATAACCCACAATATTAATTGGTTCCAGAGACTTCATGAGGAATACTTATTGTCCATAATATAAAAAGAAACAACGAAAAAACCAAACTGAGTCAAACACAAAATAACTCCCAAAGTTCTACGCAACAGCTGTACATAAAAGGACTTTCAGCTAGCTAGCACATCACTGTGTCTGGGACTGTGGAGTTCCTACATATCATTGCATTTCTGAAAGAGTTGCTCAAGCACCAGATTGTAATGAAAACACAGCTGAAGTAGTGTCATCTGCCTCACTCTAACCCTGACTTGCAACAGGCAGTCAACATGCACAGTACAACATGAGAGCTTATCTATGAAACTTAAATCCTGGGACTACCAGAAGATGAAGTTCAACAGAAGCTATAAAATGTCTTTAATTACATAGATCATTTTAGGTTAGATAAGAATCTTTTTTTTTCTTTTTTTTTTCCATCTCATATATAATCACTGTAATCACTGTCAGCTGCAAAACATCATTTCATAGCCTTTTCATCTATTTTTCAAATTGAAAGCAATTTCAAAAACAGAATTCTGTACAGACACATTCAAACACTGTGTTTTCATTGCAACTACAGTCAGAAATCTTTACAATTTAAAGGCTACACACATATGTCACTTTTCCAAACGTCCATAAATATTTTCCAAAAAGAAAAGAAATAAAGAATAAGGTTGTCTTCCTGAAGTTCCCATTAGATCCCTACTCCAAATCAAACCCATCAAAACAAGTAATACAAATTGGTTTTTCTTTATGGTTTAAAGGCAACTGTAGTTTGCAGAACACTGAAGTTAGGCCTAACAGGTTTTACATTACAGGAAGGATAAAAAGTATTCAACAACTTCTCTTACAACAAATGTCACAAGAAGTAGACAAGTAGGAGACATACAAAAATGGGTTGTAGCAAATAGATTAAAAAAATACCAAAGCATCAACTATAGAAAACCAATGTTAGCCCATATTTATCTGAGAATACGGAAGGCTGAGCTAATGAAAAGATGAACATAACAGGCATTATGCTTCTTAGTAGAATAGGCTGCGTAAAACACGCGGTGTCTAAATCACCTCAAGTTGATCACTGACATTTGCTGCAGGCTAACAGCATTTGCCATCATGGTCCATTCAGAACTGTGAAGTGATTTTCATTCAAAACAGACACAGATTTAAGACAAGAATTATTTTACTGTAAGCAAAGCTTTAGTGCATGTACTTGGATCTCAGAAAAAGGATTTGGCATCAGCAATCATACAGAATGGTCCCAATCTGAAACAGGAGCTGAACACATCTGAAGCTGTGACACCTGTTTCAGCTCTGCTGGAATTAAATAACGCATAGAAAAAATACAAAATGGCAACAAGGAAACAGCATGGGACACTTTGGTATTATAGAACTAGCACTATTTAACAACAATCAAGACCCAAATTACTCCAGCGTTCACCATTGTTGTTTCATTAGATATTTCTTCCATTTTCTGCAATGTTTAAGTGTTTGCGTTTGTTTTGTTTTCTTAAGAAAAAAAAACCAATATATTTATTTTTTTCTGGTACAAAGCATGACAATATGAAAAGCAGTAAGCAAAGGGAGACCTGAATTTATTTTAATATACTCTGGACTGGCTAAGGAAAGAAGAAAAATTCCTACCATTTACTAACAAACTCTACACATCACTTCCTCATTTTTCTACTTCAACATCTTAACCACTGTGTCGTGTACTGTACTATAGAAAGAGAGCATAAAGGTTGAAGACAAAAAGGTTACAGAATACAAACCCTCATTTCTAAATTCTACAGAAGGTATGAATATACATAACCTTTTAAGATATTGCATTTACCATGAGCCATGCGAATCACTTTAATACATTTTCAGGAATATGTGTGATTATCCTTTACATATGTAACAGCCTCCAAAAGCACCTTACAAACCTCTTCAGCAAAGAAGCAAACAAATTCAACTGAAAAGGAAACAAGTGTGTGATATTGTCTGGAAGATGAGGCCAAAGTTTTGACATCCATTGGCCAAAGCAATGAATCAAAGCACGCTACCAAATATGATCACTAAAACACCTGGTCATTTTCAGTAAGGACAGATAAATAATTATATGAATCTCCATCAAAAATTGTTTAGCAAAGTTTAGTTAAGTACTTGAAGCTTCTTTGCTCTCACCCCATTTTCACAAACATGCCTTTTGACCCTGTTACTCTGCCTATTTCCTAGACATATTTATACTTATTCTAAGCTGCTATGAATAGACTTCAAAAAGCCTGTTTTATAGGAGATAAGTTACTGGAGGTCAGATGAACCAAAGTAAGTATTTACATGCTTTAGTGCATAACAGATACAACTTAATTTAGAATTCAAACCAATTTCAATCCAAGTTTCAATCCAAGTTACATTATTTAACAATGGGGATACACTAAGCCAGAGGCAGCTAGTCAACTGTGTTTGTAACACTGACTGTAGGTCTGACTCAATACTATAGAAAAGAGCTGGTGAGGATCAACAGGGACCAACGTTACCTGCCTCTTGTTTGGAGATTGTTAATAGGAACTGTTTTCTGTCCAGATATCAAAGATGTTACAATAATATAGGTGTACACTGACAATTTAGAGCAACATTCTGCCCCCATATAAGACAAAATATTTGCCAGAATGCCAGTTTTGTAACTATCTTTGCAAAAGGGAAATCCAGTAGAGATAGAAATGAACATCATGAAGGAAGCATGTTCAGGCCTATTCACCAGAGGCTGGTTGGCACTGGAACAATCTCCCGTGGAGCGGTGGTCACAATCTCATGTGGCCGGAATTCAAGGAACATTTAGTCAAGATTCTTAGACATAGGGATTGAATTGTGGGTGGTCCTGTGTGGAGCCAGGAGCTGGACTAAATGATCCTTGTGGGTCTATTCTAACTCTGGTTATTCTATGATACTGTTATTCTCAATGACCAGGTCAATTAGCAAGTCAGATTTCAGAACTAATAACACTTATTCAATAAATCCCAAGATCATTTTGTTTTAAAACCTTAGCATAATCTTAACAATAATTCTTAAACAGTGGCCATTCAAATACTGTGGATGGGATAGCTTCTATTGCAATCACGGTATCTTCATCTGTATTACATACTATCTTCATATGTGTTATTTGCATTAAAATCAGAGGCACAGAAGACAGATGAAAAAAAAATTAGAGGCAAAGAAGCTTTTAGAGGAGAGGGAGATTTAAATAAGACTTCCTTTCTCCTTCAGATATGCTCAGGGACATACAAACTATGAAACTGCTGAATAATAAAGGATGCTGTATAAGTAGCAAAACTGACATTTTTTCTCCCATGATTTAGAATTTTTTTTGTTTTCTTACCTTTGTTTTCTACTAAGAGGTGGTACGATTTTCATTCATACTATTCTGTCCTTACTTTCAGCGTGTCTTTTGCTAATGTGCAAATGGTGCCTATGAGTAATAAAAGTTTCAGAAGTTTTCAAGACTCACAGGTGGAATAGAACAAAGCTTTCCCCCCCCCCCCCCAAAAAAAAAAAAAAGAGAGAAGTGGCAACTAAATTTTCTTCAGTGGACTCTGTATACAATAGAGTCTTTAAACATGTATTATGATGCCAGAAACCATCTTTATTTTACCATTTTGCATAGGTAGAAGGAATAAAAAAATATTTCCCGGACTAGACTTTCTGCTGAAAGCAGCATTCCAGTCCCTATCAATACAGAAGACATGCCGTTAGATTTTTTTTCCTGGTTTATTCCTTCCTTCCATATTTTTTTCTTTTTTTCTTTTATATATATATGTCTTTGGTCTATAAGCACATTGGTTCTGTGTGCACATACACAATACTGTTGAACAGTAGGTTGCATAGAGTCTGTTGCCCAAGAACCTTGCCTACTTTTGGCACTGCTATCACAAATCACAGAAAAATGTCCTGCAAGAGTTTTATGATCCTTAGCATCCTATATCAAACTCTGATCTAGGAAGAAGTGAGTATATCATGTTAAAATAATACCTATTTGGGGTATTATTTTGTCTTCTTCAGGACACAGTTTATATATCTTTGATGAAACAGGAGAGCAAAATTATTTTGCAGACGGTCTTAATTTTATTTACAAAAGTGATAGAATAGTGCTGAACCTTCAAAGTTTTATGTTAAGAATTATATTAAGTGAATTTTGCTGAAGTTTGCATGCATTTAAACTACTTCTAGTAATGTATGGCATTCTGTCTTTTCTCTCTTCAGCCTACTAAAAAAGTGGCAATGTCTCTAAGAACGATACCTAGAATAAACTGTGTCCAAGGAAGCAATGACTTCATCTGCTGCTTTTTTCATTCTCTGCTCTCATCTTTATGAACTTGGAAGAATAGTTTCAGGAGTGAGTTCTGGATTCACAATGGTGCACTTTCAACATGGAATCTGTGTAAAAAGCTGATTGTCATAATAGATGTCAAAAATTGCAAGGAAAAATAAAAGGCAAGAATGAGTGCATCCTAACTGCTGACATCAATGCTTCTGGAAATTTGCACAACTAATCAAATCTACTTCTAATGCAATTAACCACCAATTCTGAATTTTAGGTTATTCTAAAGTAACATTTCCACAATCACAATGGTTCTTTTTTCCCTAATTGCTAATTGATCATATTACCTAGCATTCAACATATAAATCCAGTCTTTTAAAACTTCATATTGGAGGAATGGCCAGTGTGATTCGATAGGCAGTTTCAAAACCAGCACTTTAAAACACAAAGTAACAAAAATATCTGAAGCAGAACTAGAATCTGCAAAGCTATGTTCTATCTTTTGTAAGTAACAAATAAAGCAGCCATTATGTATAGCAGACTCAGCAAAAGCAACAGGAATGGACAGAAGAGATCAGAGTGTGATACTCTCCACCACTGAGAATCCCAAGAGATAAAGTTTGAGAATAGATGTTCCCTTTTGTCCAGAAGTTCCCAGAAAGAATACAGAATAAATAATATTTCAAATATGGTACAAGTGAAAATACTGCTCCCATTGTGTCAATTACATACACATACAGCATGCCTACCTACGTATACAGAATGATGTGTCGTCTTCATTCACAAACAGGGAGTATGGCAGTGCACTATCAGAATGCTTCGATACTCCTAAATTTTTTTATGCTGATATATATGAAGAAACAGCATTCGCAACTTCTAATTTACTTACAGTAGCAAACAGTTCATCCTGTTTATGTCTTGTGACACTCAAAGATTAATGCTCCTCTGAGCATGTGCTACCAGTAAGATAACCATTTGTCCCATTGGCACCACCAGTCCCATTAGTGGTGATAGTACTGTGCAGGGTCTTTGAACGAGGTACTGTTTCTTCCTCATCTGAGCTTGACTCAATGTCACTTCGGTCATCCTTTGTTACCTGTAGAATTTGAGAAAAAACAAGCAGTAGACAATTTTAAGGAAAGAACGGAGCTTTTTGATGCAAGCTGGAATCAGAGAACTCAAACAGTTTTCAATTGGAGATTTGAAAGTGGTATCAGATCTGGCACATTTCTCCTCCTGCCTAGAACTCCCTTCAAACACAGCTGCTAGTACATACACTCTTTGTGAGCAGAGGCAAGGTAAGAACTTTGCACTGATGCATTCAAGGTAATATCTCGAGGGAAGAGCACAGTGATCAAGGCAAAGGCTGGTACCTACTAAAGGAAGCAACAATTCAAACTCCCTAGTTCAGCCTAGTCCCCTTCTCTTTGCCCTCCCACTACAACCTTATTTTCTGTGTCTTCAATACATCGGTAAGCTCATCACTGGTACAGGGATTCCTATGCTTCCCTTGGGGTACTTCTCTTTGACTTGATAATGTCAGGATAAAGGCAAAATATTCACACTAACCTCTTTCCCTTCACTTCCTAAGTCATTCTCTAGAGACTATACAGCTCACAAGAAATGTGCTGTGGGCTGGCAGTAGAAGGTAGAAGTATTAGCCTAAACATAGCTCACTGAACTAGGTAACTGCAGTCTGATCTTAGAGAAATGATGAGAATGGTGGTTGGAAACACAGGACAGTCGAGTTCCTATCACAGGAACCACACAAGCAATTGAGCAAGTTCAATCATCTGCAAAATTTTTCCATTTGAAAGCTGCTTCAAAAACATACTGGCTTTAATTGCTAATGATTTTCTGCTAATTCCCAGCTGAACTTAATTCCTGTCTATTTATACTTATTTACTTTATGAATTCTACTCCATAGGCTAAAGGGTCTACTCTTCTCTTCAGTAGAGCTCGTTGAGGGTCATAAGTGAAGATCATTAAGTGTGAGAGCTGAACACTAGGTCCCTTCAGAATCCCTGAGTTGACTTTGCACCCAAAACAAGTAAAAGAGGGGGGACAAGAAGTGGAGAAGAAAACAACAGGCATGATAAGGAGGAAAAAGGAGAACAGAAAAGAAAATCCTGCAAAGAAAAAGCCCTGCCTGTTCAATTCTTAAGGGTTTGGGGTATTTTAGTTTTTCTTTTTTTCCCCCAAGTGGTAACAATGGCACAGCCAGTGTCTCATATAATTCCCAATAACTGCCCATAATTCAGGTCAGAAGAGACCTTGGGAAGTCTATGCCTAAACTCCTGCTCAAAGCAGAGTTAGCAGTAAGGTAAGAGTTTATCACAGATCTCTATCCAGTGTGGGCTTGAAAATCTATAAAAATGGTAGAATTATATCAGATGAACAGAAAGAGGCATGAAGTTGAAGTTGCCTGCAAGCTTAAATATGCAGCTTTCCACTCCTGTTTGCATCCCTGTTTGTATAGCTGAGATTCCTAATTCTGTCAGCATCTACCAATACTGTATAGATCACCACATCTGACAGTGACAGTAGACTTTACAACAGTGAATGGACACAAGAGTTAGAAAACACATGGCAAGACTTTTCCCCGAAGAGATCAAAACAACCACATAGCAGGGAATATCACTTAACATAATTTTTAATTACAGTAATTCTCCTCTATTCCAGAAAGCCCTGGAGGCCATTCTTTTGTCTAGTTGTTGCTTCAGAAATGACTGTTTCCCTTTGGGGTTCCCAGCGCTGCTACTGACCTTATATCATAAACCTGAGCAACACCACTGTTTGCCAGCGGAGGAAAAAAGAAAACACACACCTATTGACACTAAAATCCAGCTATACAGGTATAAGGAAATATATATATACACCTGTATATATACCATATATAGCTGGTATATATATATTCCATATACTGTATAGCTGGATTTTAGTGTCAATGTCTAGCAGCGTCACAATTCTGGCATCTGTGAAATTGGACTTCAGCTGTGCTTGGAAATTCCACGCCATACTACACAGCTTCAATTAACAGACTACTTTAGTCTCACTCATATACAGCAACTTTTATATTACAGCTGTTGCAGATACAGAAATACACTCAGAATTACACCTTTATCAGACAAAAGAGAATTGGCTCAACGAGATGTACCTTAGATCAATGTGAGGGGAGACTGATCACCTGAAAATTCTACCATCATTTGAGTTCTCTTAATATAGTATATTCGCTGTTAAATATTCTGGTAGGGTATACTCAAAAGCCAGTTAATCAAAAGAAAATCCTATGATGTAGCCACTTAAAAAAAATGTAGAAAGTAACATACCAAGGTCTTTGCACTTAAACCTTGGTATGAATCTATATTGAATCAGTACTTACTTCTCTTTATTTATCTCCAAAATAATCAACTGGAGTAATTCCTGAAGAGGGTGTTTAAAAAAATATATATATCTAGGTTTACAAAACTCTGAAGCATAAAAGAGAGTAAGAAACAGATTACCAGGAGTACTTACAAATTTAGTGATAATAAATCGCTGGGCTGTTTCAAAGGTGGGTAACAGTAATACATTATGCACTGTGATAGCACTGCTTATTTTACTGTAGAAACTGAGAGGATGTGGTTGCAAATGAATAAGAATGTTAAGATCTAGAGAAAGAGTCCTAGATTAATGTATAGGCAGTTTTAACATGGTCACTATCTTGCTGCAAGTGTCTGATTCTGCTTTTGTACAACCTAAATTTCCTTGGTTGAACTACAAGGCAGAGGACGTATATTCTCATGCATGCCTTCTGAATGGTACTAGAGTAGCTGTTATCCTGCCAATATTTATGTACAAAAATGGTTGTAACACCAAGATACTATGAATATTAGGTGATGCACAGACAAGAAGTAAAAACAGCCTTAAAAGACAGCCTTCTTTCAAATATCTAAATACAAGCGATGAATAAAAAAAAATAAAAAATAAAAAAATCAGACAGAAACTGCAGAACAAAAACAAAAGCAACAACAAACACTCCAGTATTTTGCAGAATGTATCTTTTGCATAGTAAATGTAAAGAAACTTACATGCAAGGGGTTCCACTTTCCAGCCTTCCAATGCAGCACAAGGGACAGGATAGACAAGCAGAGTAAGAGAGGGTGCAAAACAACAGGCCAAGTTCTGAAGTACATTCAAAGAAAGCAGTTATGTACAGAACAGTTCCTATTCCATTTGGGGGTGGTTACACATCTAAAATAATTACTTATGAGCTTATGTCCTTGAGGGCAGAGTACACTGTACTTTAGACAATCCTTAGGCATAACATTCATAGTCTAAATACAAGTGTTGTTTCTGCAGACAAAGGGCACACGAAGTGGAATGAGGTTAGCATTTTTTCTGAATTACATCTCCCCATCAAATGTAACAATGCTAACAAGATGTTACATTTTATCTCAAGCAGTCTTGCTGGGGGGGATCCTCTGGTCCTTCCCAGAGTCTCATAAATACTAAAAAACAAAAGAGGTTGTGGTTTGTAACCTTGCCACAAGCAAAAGCAGAAGAATTTCAGTTTGTATTATTATTATTATCACTGTCAGCTGGGAAGCCAACAGTTTTCTAACTAGCATGAAGAAGAAAAACAGAACTGGCATGTTTAGTAACGTATTAGGGTTCAAAAAGAAAAAGTACCCCAAAAGTGACCACATACTGATACTGAAACAGTTAAAATAGTAACAGAAGTCTATCAGTGCTGTCTTACCTTGCCTTTTGAAATAGCTTTGTAGGCTGCCTTTATTATTAGATAAGACCAAAAACAGTGCAGAATTTGAAGAACCACAAGCAGCACATTGAAGACCCACAAGGCAGGAAAATTGCCCAGAGCTTCATACAGTTCAAATAATGTAGTGTTTAATATCCTAGGAGAGAAAGGGACAGAAAAATCATTACACTTTTTTAAAGCCAGCAATCTCAAAGGATGCGCTTTCTAAATCAAGATGACAAATATGGATTAGATGGGATCTACCCATATAGTTGCATCTTACAGCAGCAGTGACTCGGTGTCTCTAGAATCACCACCAAAATTTGGCTTATAGTGCTTAATGTCACTTAATAGACATTACATACAGGAAAGAAAAATTCTCAGCATGCATTTCTTCTTTTATAAAGCTGGCAGGTGTCAGCTGTCTTAAATAACCAAAATGCTCATTAATAACAATGATTGCTTAATTCCTTAAAGTTTTTTTCATCTCGACTTCCTCCAGACATGGTTTGGTACCTGTGTACTACCAACATGAAAGAAGCGGCATATATGGGGACTGTTACTTTGCATGCAACTTCCAAGCACTAGTACCATGTTCTTCAAAACACATTCCCAGGCTGCAATAGGGATCTGCAACCTCTCCAGGGAATAGCTGTATGAATTAGCTACCAGCCTATAGTCACTAGATGGCAACCGACATGCTTTGTCCGAATGCAAAAGGGACGTAACTGAGGTCCTGCAAGGATTCAGGACAGCAGAGCTCACTTTTGAAATGCTAGGGACACCAAGCTCTACTTTTTAAATAATCACACTTGCCACAGCTACAGTCCGTTCCAAAAACATTAAAATCAGTCCAAGCAATAATAAGTATGTATACACACATTTAAGTTAGAGTACAGCATAATGATTTATATATATACGAATAGCACTGACCACAAATCAGGTAGCGATTTCTAACACTCTGGCCTTGTCGTATGTAAGGCATTTCATAATAAATATTTTAGCTTTTTATTTTTGCTTTATTAAGTTAAGATACATGTATGATTCATAATTTAATGAAAGGATCTTATAACCTTATATACAGTTGTGTTTTCAGAATGCTTTATGTTTATGGAGTAGACATTGGAAAAATGTCTTGTAGCTGAAGCAAAACAGTTCTGCATTTACTGTACTGCTCTAATTTAATGCTCAGAACAAAATTAACATATTTTCAGAAACAACTAAACAATCACCATCTAACTTCTCTAGCTGAATAAGCAGTACTCAGGAGGCTATCAGCAACAGGCCCACGTTGCTTATCTGCTGACTCAGACAAGATGATGCTCCCTCCCAGCAACTTAATGGGCACAAGTCTTGGATAGCAGAAAATAATTCTTGGTAAGTTGATCACCTGTCGTACACTTGGGATGAAACAAGGAAAGGGAGGTGGCATCAGGATTGGCATCATTGCTGCGGGGTGACCTCATTGCAGCCTATCAATACCTGAAGGGAACCTACACCCAGGAGGGGAGTAAACTCTTCAAAAGGGCTGATAACAGCAGGACTAGGGGAAATGGTTTTAAGTTGAAGGAGGGAAGATTTAGGTTGGATGTTAGGGGGAAGTTCTTTACTAGGAGAGTGGTTAGGCCCTGGAACGGGCTGCCCAGGGAGGTTGTGGATGCCCCGTCCTTGGATGTGTTTAAGGCCAGGTTGGACGGGGTCCTGGGCAACCTGATCTGAATGTGTATGTTTGGTGGCCCTGCTAGGCAGGGGGGTTGGAACTACATGATCCTTGGGGTCCCTTCCAACCCGGGTGATTCTGTGATTCTGTGATTCTGTGGAGGTGAAGGAAGAAGAGATAAAGAGTTGGAGAGGTGGAAGAGTAAAATGCATGTTTAAATTCATCTGAGAATTGGCAAAATCTGCTGTTTGCTTCCGAAAGGATTTTAGACAAATAAGAGAAGACAAGAAAGAAGTCCATGTGAAAAGAGTAGTTCCAGGCAGGTGGAAAATTCATGATAGACACTGCAGAATGAAGCATAGCAGGGTTACTGCCACGCTGGGCATTATTATCATGTTCAAAAGAAGCAGAAACTGTGCAGCTGAAACAAATGCTAGTACAAGTTGCCTTAACTTCTGCAACATTGCCCAGTGCCCGGCAGACTGCACATGCAATGAGCAGAATGAAAGGCATGCTGCTACTATAGTGGAAAAGGTATAACAAATGTATTAGCTTATTCTGCATTATACATACTAAATAGTGACTAAGACCAGAGATCAAAGAGTCAGAGGCCTAGATTCTGTATTTCTATTAACTTACTGTATGATCCAAGAAATTCTCAAGTTCCTTCACCCAGTTTACGTATTGTTAAGGATGTATATAAAGTATCAGTGCTTGTCTGTCTCACAAAGATGATGGAGCATGTTAATTAACTTAAATTAATGGGCTTGTTTATAAACCACTATGGACTACACTGTAACACTAAGAGCATGAAAGTACACACACGCACATGTTGGCCAGCCACAGGATATACTGTCTACAGTTCATCAGTAGTCAAGGTTTATCACTATTATTTAGACCTTCATAGAAATACAATAGGCCTTCAAATCCCAGGCTGCCCCAGTTACTTGCACTAACAATGCTAAGCTAACTTTACACACAATAGGTGATCTAATAGGCGTTTCTGCATGCATGACCTTAAACAAGCTACCCAACATTTTACCCAAGAAGGGTATAAAATGACAAGTAAAACAGCCATTAAGTTCAAGAAAAACTGGACTACAGCAACTGCATATCCCAGAGTTCTCAAGCTGCAGTACAGCTGAATATTTAATTATAGCAAATCCAGTATGTAAAGGTTGTACCACCAACTTCTCACTCTTCTGAGTTTCAGCTTGGCAGAGAGTTGGAACTAGATAATCTGAGCTCCCTTACAACCCAAGCCATTCTATGATCCTATGATCATGCAGAGTTCTGTTCATCCATTCCAGTGTCACACCAGAAAACATTCAAGTCAGCTGAGGTCTGACTGCTCATACAAGCTCAGATGCAGTGCAGACAGGTGGCTTCTGCTCTGACACTAAGCAGCAACAGTACCTCTTTGCAGAAATCACATCCCCAACCCTGAGATCATATTATTTTAAATCCTGTGTAGATCAATAATAAGATTTCCAATTACTTAAAAAAAAATGCTGCTACAGACAGGAAATTATTCATGTTTGACATACTGTACAAGATACCATTCTGATCAAGCTGTCACTGTCCTATGTTCAGCTGTGCTTTTCTCTTTACTCAATATCTTCTCATCAACAGCTATTGCCCATTAACTGATCTTGCACTAGCGTGAATATTAGTATTTCTATCCTTGTGGATAGAAGAAAAAAAAAAAGAATACAAGGTCAGAGACATCTTCACAATCCAAGCTCAAACCTCAGGACAGTCTTTCAGTAGACATTACGATGTGAAAAGAATTCAAATTTCCTAGCTGAACATGATTATACTCAGCAAAATGTTTTACCAGTAACATATCCTGGCAAAATGCTTGCATGAAGACCTGTGGATTACAGCACACAGCAGAGGGAAATGACTTTTGCTAAGAATGAAACTTCCAAATCTGAGAAATTTCAAGCACATAAAATTTTTATACAAGCAACAGAAAATATATTTCAAGATCCCTTTGCCTGGAGTTCATAGTATTCTCTAAATAGAAAGGCTCTTAATGTAACTACGTAGGACTGTTTCCTATTTTTGCAGCACAAGCTATCAGAAAATAAAAGCCTTTCTGATGCCTCTTTCAGTTAAGTAAATGCACTACCTGTGTGGGAGGAATATTCTTACTTTTGGAGCACAGACACATTGTGTTGAGTTCAGCTACGTGGCACAGCAAACATTTCAGGAGAAAAGATGATCCAAACTTTCTTCAATGCAGGAACTAAATAGGACTTGTTCAAAACTCATAAAACAGCCACAGCCGCCCCTCTGCCAGACACCTATTGCCCTTCAAGTGGCTGACATACCATCAGTAGTAGGAGTACTGCACTCTGAATTCCTTATTTTATTTTTTACTGAGAACCTGTCCCTGCAGCAACAGTATCATTTTTAAATCCATGCTTCAAAAAGTGTGATGGTAGCATCTATCAGTGACTTATCTTTCAAATAAATGGTGAAAACATCATGGATTATATTTAAAAATTATAAAATCATTAAGGTTGGAAAAGACCACTAGGATCATCTAGTCCAACATCAACGCATCACCATCACATCCACTAATCCACATTGCTCAGTGCCTTTTTCTGAAAACTTCTAGGGACACTGACACCACCACTTCCCTGGGCAGCCTGTTCCAATGCTTCACTCTAGGAACATGTTTTTTTCTAATATCCAACCTGAACATTACCTGGTGCAACATACAGCTATTCCTTCTTATCCTATCACTGTTACCTGGGAGAAGAGAATGACTCCCACCTCACCATAACCTTCTTTCCGGTTGTTGTAGAGAGCAATAAGGTCTGCCCTGAGCCTCCTCTTCTCCGTACTAAATAATCTCAATTTCCTCAGCTGTTTTTCATAAGACTCGTGTTACAGACCGTTCATAGCTTTGTTGCCTTTCTTTAGACATACTGCAGAGTCTCAACGTCTTTCTTGAAGAAAGCAGCCCAAAAACTGGGTCAAATTTTTATCTCATCTGTCTCCAGATAAAAATCATGGCCAGTCTCTTTTCCCCTCCTTCCTGCAAACAACGCAGTTTTGGAGGACTTCAGATGACTGCCGTCGCTGAGTCACCTGTCAGTTCAGCCTCCTCAGCTCAGCCACTGTGCTCTTCAGTCACTGTGCCTTGAGGAGCTGACTTGAAAGCAGCTAAAACATATAAGAAAGTGCCTAGACACAGTAACATCACCAACACTGCTTCCCTTCTCTTGAGACATTTACACTCATGAGAATAATTTTGAACAGAAGTGCCCCAGCACTTGTTTCTGTCCTGTTTTCAATCAGGTTTTAGAAAGGAAAGTTAGAACACTGACTGAACAGCCTGCCCCAACAACAGAAGTCATTATTACTGGCACAGGGCACAGACTACAAAAACTAAAAATAAGAACTGACTTTGGAAGACCTGATAAAATCCTTTTTCATCTCATTTTTTTCCAGTTGTGATCACACATAAGTCTTAAAAACTGAAA